AGTTCAGCCTTGGAGTCTGTGTTCTTTATTTGGTACTGGGGATTGAACCCAGAGGCAATTTACCACTTAGCCACATTCTGAGCCCTTTTTATTTTGAGACAGTTTCACAGAAAGTTGATTAGTGCCTCACTAAGTTGCTGAGGCTGACCTCAAACTGTTTCAGACTCCTGAGTTGCTGGGATAACAGGCATGTGCCACCACACCCGAGTCTGTGTTCTTAATCATGAACTGACTCAATGATACAAATGTGTTCTGTCTATATAGTATTACCCTAAACGGTTGATTAGGTAAGTTTAGTGAAAATTTACCTCTTGTTTGAGTTAGCTACATAGTGGGTTTTCTGCCTTGTTATTTAAAGTTTGAGAAAAAAATCCACCTCCTCCCTCCAAATAAACAAACATAAAATGGAGCGTACAGAGGACTGGGATTTTGGAGGGTGTGCATCGTCCAGATTATTGGATTCATACACTTGTAAGCCCCTTGCTTAACCAGGCTTGTGTAAATGGGATCAGTTCCTTGATCTGTCTGAAAGGGAATTTTTCAGCTGTCACTAAGAGCCAAATCCTTCTTTTCTGCTCTTCTGCTCTGAAAGATATTTATAATTTGTTTGTGATTTATTGAAATTTGCCTGGCTGTGAGAGAACTACATCTTATAAGCTTCAATTCACTTAACCCTTCACTACCTGCTCTGTCCCTTTGGGGAAACTCCCTAGAAGACATTTCTTGAGGTTACCCGGTCGGTCCTCTGAAGTTTATAAAACAGCACACATCATACCCCACATAATTTATTCAACCATTTTCTCTATTAAGGTACTTGGAGGACACAACAGGTGGTGTGGATGTACAAAGAGGGCCACAAATCCCCTCTTACATTTGCTTCTGTTTGAGAACTTTGGTGGTGAACACAGGTTAAAGCTGTGGCTTTAGAAACTTAATCAGCTTCCAAAATGAATGGCACCAAATGAATTTCTAACCAAACCAAAATATTTTTCTTTAATGTAAATTAGTATCTACCTAAAAACAGCAGAACATAATTATCCCAGTGACTCAGGTTGGTTGATAATCTTTGTAAATACATGTAAAACATCAAAATTTGAAATAATGTGCTCATTCTTCATATTTATGCTGTGTACCTTTTATTGAGCAGCTTACGGAGGGATTAGAAGCAGAGGATAACTTTTTTTTTTTTTTAAGCTAAAAGAAATTTAGCTAAATTCACCTAAAAGAAATCCTTTTCTTCTATTTCCTCATATTTGTCTCTTTTGCTTGGTTTTCTCCCTTTCAGTCCTAGGTATCTTCTTTTTCACTTCAACTTCTGCCCATGCGCCTCTGCCAGAAGTCTTTGTTTCTTTTTTTTTTTCTGGGAACTTGGAGATGGGTATCAGCAGTACTATAGTGATGCTGGGTCCTGGGTCATGACCATGGCCAGGCTAGCATTAGATGGGAGGAGAGAGACGAGAGCATCTCTACTGCTTGACTGGTTTATTGTTTCTGAGTTGTACAAACGAGAGGCATCAAGGAAATAGAGCATACTGTATTGAGTTTAATATGTCTCTGTAGAGGGCATCCTAATTTTACATGACACAAGAGAAGGCATGCTCTCCAATCCTTTCCCAGGGAGCATGTCAACAGAAAAGAAACACAAAAACATTTGAGAGGCAGGGATTTAATGCTATACAGCCTGCAAGCATTTGGGTGGTTCCAATATCACTTATGATACTATGGTAGATGAAGATTGATTTCTTGTGATTTTTATTACATTAGCTTTCTTTTGCTGTTTGTAACAGATTACCACAAACTGAGTGACTTAAAACAACACAAACTCACGAATTGTAGTTCTGACTGTCAGAAGTCCTAAAATCAAGGTGCTGGCAGGGCTGTCTTCCTTCTGGAGTTTCTAGGGAGCGCTTGCTCCTCCCTTTCCAGTTTTTGGAGGCTGCCTACATTTCTCCTGTCCTTTTTCCATCTTCGAAGCTTCAACTTCTGCATTACATCTCCTCTCCCTCTGAGACTCGCCTCCCTCTTATAAGGAAGCTTGTGATTGCATTGGGCCCATCCACCCAACTGAAGGAAATCTCCCATCTCAAGATCTTTAACTTATATCTGAGACTCTGTTTTGCTATGTAAGTCAACATTTTCATTCACAAGTTTTGGAGATTAAGACATGGCCATCTGGGGTGGGGGTGGTCCATTATTCTCCCCACCACATACCTGTTCTTCAACCAGCTGTTTGCCTTTTACTACTATTGAGAGCAGTTGTAAGCAAGTTGGAGTCAGCTGGACTATGGCAGTTTTGGAGCTATTTTTACCTTTTTGAATCCTTCTGCACATAGAAACCAAAATAACCATGCTCTGATGGATCCACAGAACAACACAGGTTCAAACTCCCAGAGCTTTGTTAATCCATGCATTCTTTGTGCATGATGCAGAGAATCTACTGGGTTTGATATCTTAGTGCTAATGGCTGGTGCATTTCTGAGGTATTGTACCCACCAAAGACATAAAGCAAATCTAATCCTTTGGATAAAGGTCCCAAATCCACAAAATTCCAACTCTATCTCTCTACTCAGATCTGATAGTTCTGAGAGCTTGTAAGAGTTTGCTAATATGCCTTCTCATGGCCGTTTCCACAAAGCATGCCATAAGAACATTGCACCATCCAATGTAAATGTAAAATCCACTGTCAGCATTTGGGTGGAAAATGACTTTTCTTCTGAAATTTTAAGAGAGTGGTGCCTTGTCCAAAATAAAAGCTCTTTATTCTCTTTGTGTCCATACTTTATAGCAATTGGTGAGGAGGATGAGGGAAAGAGTGGGCAATGAGACTGGTAAGATGGGAGGCACCAGGTGTGGAGGTGAGGGGGGCTTAAATAAAAATACAAAACACAATGAGAAGTAGTACAGGAATTTAGGTAGACAGGGAGAGTAAGGCAAAGAAGTCAAGCATTATTAGTTCTTTATTTTTTCTCCCTTGGGGACACTGAATGGATGGGAGATCCATACTTGGATGGGAAACAGGAAAAAGAGCATATTTTGGAGGTAATATGTAGGTTAAGTGAGAATTGCTAGTGGGACAGCCAGATGGGGACAGCAAACAGTTTGCTGTATGGGATTGAGGCAAGGAGGTTTGGGCTTTCTATATGGACTTATGACTTATCAGTAAGAAGGTAATTGGAGGAGAGTATATGGGATTAAGAGGACAAAATGGCATAAGACAGAGACCCGAGAAGTACCAACATTCAGAGGATAGGCAGAAAAAAAAGAAAAAAGCCTGCAAAGAAGACTAAAGAATGATTAGAGAAGTAATGGAAAAATCAGAAAGAATAGACATATTAAAAATTTATACCAGGCTGGGGGTGTAGCTCAGTGGTAGAACACATGCTTAGCATATATGAGGCCCTGGGTTTAATCCCTAGTACAAGATTGTGTGCTCACACACACAGATTTGTGCCCATTCCTTGGTCCTACTATTGGACATATTTCTAAATACAATAACATGTAACTTGAAAATTGTTTGTTTATATATAAAACAGGGACAGTAATTCTTCATTTGGCTCACAGGGTTATGAGGATCAAATGAAAAAAGGTATTTGAAAATATTTTGTAAAGTGTCACACCAGTGGCTCTGAAACTTTTGCGTGCATGGTTTGTTAAATCACAGATTGCTATGCTTCTGATTTTAGTAATAGTTTCTTCAGAAGATATGGGGTGGGATTGCTAGAATCTGAATGGTGCATGAATTCTCAGGTGATGATGGTGTTATTGACCCAGAACCATCCTTTGTGAACCACTACGTAATACAAATGTAAGGAATTATCGTTTCAATTTTATAACAAAAATCACAGGTTTCCCCCATGTTGTCTGCTTCATCCTATAATGATGTTGAAAGTTTCTTACCCCATTTCATACCTAGCAATACCTGTGTATGTGAGAAAGTTCAGCTTAGTGCAGTATTTTGTTGATTGCTTACAATCTTGAGGTCAAGGAACACGGGAAATATGTGACAAGAAGGAGCTCTTGGGGATAATTATTCCCCCTCCTATCCTCGAAGTCTATTAGATGCAAAATGCTACTTGTTACCAACTTTCAAAAATCCCATTAGAGACCCTGTAATTTGATCCAGAGGGAACAGCATGAGGAGAAAGTAGGGGAAGAGGAAAAATTGACCTCATTCTTCAGTCCTTTCCTAATTCCTGAGACATGTGTGTGCCTCAACACTCCCCTTTTCAATCCCACGAAACAGGGAATCAGGAAAATGCATTAGCACCCTAGTACAGAGTAGGAACACAGAGCTGGGGGGAGACAAGCCGCGAAGACAGAAGGAAACTGGGGGAGGGGAGAGAAAACTTCGCCTCGTCGGAGAATCTGCTGCGAGGCTGGAGGAAGGAAGGGAAATGGGGAAAGGTACCTAAGACATCAACCAGGCATTTTGCTTCTGGACATGTGAGAAAGTGAAGGAGGATGGAAAATGAGGCACTAGGGTGAAGTGGGAAGAGCTCCTGCGGCTGCTTTTGAGTGAGGATCACAATTGGAGCGTCCAGCTTTACTCCTTCCCTTCTGGAGGCCATTCCTCCATTTTTAACCGGGATAAAGAGCGGGCGCTGGGCTGGGAGGGTGTAAGCCAGAGTGGCCACCAGCAGCCCGGCGGCGAGCCGGGCTTGGGCCCCTGGCCCAGACCAGAGAGGTGGCCTTGGGGGACGCTGAAGTTACTCCGCGGAGGGGGAGGGGTTGCCAAGGTCCTCTCCAATCAGGGTGGCTGCTCCAGCTATTTGCATACATTATGCTAATAATGGACCTCCCGCTCCGCTCCCACCCAAGCTCCCCGCCCCCTCCGGGGGTCTCGCCGTCAGTCCGCCCCGCGGGCTGGGCGAAGGTGAATACATTATGCTAATGAGGAGGACTCCTGTTTTGGCTTTGTGGGAGGGGGGGCTCCATGCCTTGGGAGCTGCGGACCGGACGCCCGGCGCCGGGAGGGGGTCGGGGGAGGGACGTCGCGATCCGAGCGCGCGCGCACTCACACACACACACTCGCACACGAGCATCCCGAAGGGTATTTAAGCTCGCACACGCGAGGCTGCGGAGATACTTGGGGCAGCCGCGACTTGCGTTTGCTCCTTGGGTTATTTCGTTTTCCTCTCTACTCTCCCCCTTGGCCGCTCCTCTAGAGCTGCGCTCTCCGGTGTCGCTCAGCTTTTTTTGCCCTGAACTGAATCCAGGTGGGAAACTGGTCGTCGGGCGGAAAGACACCGAATAGGTAGAAATAAGGCAAACTATCAGACGCAACAGGTCCAGAGCTCGGTGGGGCGGGAGAGCGGCGGCCCCTCGCTGCGCCCGCTGCCCCCGGGGACCCTACACTGCGGCTCTCGGGGACCTGGGGAGAGGTGTCTGCTTTTTGAGGGTTAGGAGAGCCGTCTGGGTGGGTTTCATTTCGTTTTTTTACCCCATCGCCACCCGGTCCCTGGACTGAGGGTGCTTTTCACTCAACTGGTAGGAGAGAAGGAAGCGGAGGATGGTCCACGCCTGCTGGTCTCAAAACTGAGCAAAGCGCAGGTCCATCTCTGCGCCCGGGCTCCGACTCCACCAACTAGTTGTGCAGCCACAGAGACTGAACTTTAAAGGAATCGTCCTTTTCCTCTCCTTTTAAGCTTATTGGAGGAGATAGTGGGTGGAAGGCGAAGCCGAGGCAGCCGCCACAATGCTGGTGAAGAAGCATGCAGGGAAAGGAGGGGGTCGAGAGTCTGGATCCGAAGACCCGAGCCCCTGCGGGCAGCGGTGTGCCCGTACCATGCCCCAGTGCACGGCCCTGGCGACACTCCTATCAGTGGTGGCCGTGATTTCTTGTCTGTACCTTGGGGTGAAAACCAACGACCTCCAGGCTAGGATCGCCGCTCTCGAATCCGTTAAAGGGGATCCTTCTGTTCGTCTGCTGCCTGATACCTTGGATCAGCTGAAGGCCATGGTGCAAGAGAAAGTGGAGCGCCTTCTGGCTCAGGTGTGAGAGGCTGGGGTATTTTGCACGTGCATAACATTTTGCACAGGTGTGAGTCTGTGTGTAGGACCAGACTTTACCCTTACAGTATGCATACTTGGTTTGATTATGTGCGTCTGCATAACGCTTACGGTAGCATATATTTGCATGTATGCACCTCTCTTGATATCTCCAGTTCTTTATATATTACCTTCTCTCCTTCTTTCTTAATGTTTGTATGCCAGACAGGTGTGTAGGTCTAAAAGGGGAAAGGGTGGCCAGAATGACTGGAAGGCATTTTTTTCTCTTTAGTTTTCTGGAGTCTGATGTAATTCTTTCCCCAGTTGTATGAAGAATATTTCTTGCAGAGATAACATCTGTTTTATCCTTCACTTATTATAAGGTTAGGGCCATAGTTGATATTAATGCATAAAGTGAAATAACCATATAAGTTAAAATAAATGATTTTACTCATTGGCTCTTTTTAGAATAAAAGTTTATTTATTTATCTATTTTTAAATATTTATTTTTTTAATTTGTAGCTGGATGCACTATCTTTATTTTATTTATTTTTATGTGATGCTGAGGATTGAATTCAGGGCCTCACACATGCTGCGCAAGCACTCTACAGCTAAGCCACAATCCCAGCCCTATTTATTTATTTATTTTTAAAGTAGGTTTATCTTTAGAAAAGGGTGCAGTGCCCAAATATTCATGAATGCAGAACCATTGGAGTTGAGAATTGAAAGGAAGCATCATTATGTTTAAGGATAGCTTTAGAGTTGGGGGTGTTCAGAAGTTGCTCTTTCAACAAAGAAGATGTTTAGTCTTAGTTGGAACACAACATAATAAAGCATTTTACCTTCTTGTATAAGGTATTGGCTGTTGTGTGCATCTGCATAACACTTACTGTAGCATATATTTGCATGTATGCACCTATGTAAGCCAGGTAAGCCACAGCTGGCCTAGTACTGCAACATGTTAGTGCCAGGTTTTTACATTGTTTATTCTTGGGCTGAGGGAGAGGGTGGTGGTGGTTGGAGAATGGAGAAAGATGTATCTATATCTAGCAATCTTGATATCATGTCAATGATCACTTTCCTTTTTTAGGTCTTGGGTACTGTTTCCTTTTGACTAAGGTCCAAGTACATATGTAAATGTTAGTTATGTAGCCTATCAAATGCTGGCAAATCAGACATATGGTCAGAGCCCCTAAAGACTCCATTTTTCTACAGTGCTACTGATGATCGTTAATACCTCTTCTTTTCCTACAGAAATCCTATGAACATATGGCTAAAATAAGAATTGCAAGAGAAGCACCTTCAGAGTGCAACTGCCCAGCAGGTAAAATGGAACTTATTTAACAAGGTTTTCTCCACAGCAGAACATTTGCAAACAAAGGTCTTGTGTCTGTCAAGTCTACCTGTAATAATAGTAAAGAAAGAATGCAGACCCAACTTGCTTTAATAAAATCAACATGTCCTTAGTCGAAAGGATGGCAAATAAAGCCCCTAATATTATTTTAAGCTGCATACCTAGGTCTGTTATGGGAAAGCAATGGAGATAGAAACAATCACTATGGAAAATACAGGCAAGATGATGTACAAAGGCACAGTGCTTAGATTCACACATTGAAAGTATTCAGTTTTATCATGTTAACGTCTGTGGTGAAAAGGACTGTAGAATTGTTAGATTCTGAGTTCCTTCGTGGCAAATGCTGCATTAGTGCAGGTTTCTGTTTGTTCCCGTTGGCATATGATTACATTCATAAACAACCTCCACTTCTTGCTCACCTTTTACCTATTTTATCAGAAAGGCTCTCTCTCTCTCTCCTAACCTATAGCTAAAGATGAAGACAAAAAAGAAATTAATTATTTACCTTGAGCTTCCCATTGTAAATATTGCATTCTCAGTGAATCACCAGAAAAGGCTTTTTTATTTTTGCCATTTTTTTGGTGCAGTTTCAGAGAACTATATCTATGACAGTATATTAGAAGGATGAAGAAGAGAGACATCAATGAGTAAAACCCCTCAGTAATCATTAAATCTTCATTCACAGATCTCTGAGACTTGGTAGTTATCTGTAGGCTTAACAATTTAAAAGCCCTTGGAATATGGCTATTGAAAAACTTTTAGTAGATTCCAGGATATAGACTATAAAAAGTCCTATGAGTCTCAGTGTTTTTCAGATAAACATTATTCATGCATCAATGAACATTTTGGTTTCTTTTTATCATCCTGCATGGAAAGTGACTTTAATGTTCAAAAACATTATATATATATATAGTTATGTAATGACAGATTGGCTAATTACAGACCACATAAATGATGGTGGTCCCATAAGATTACATTACCTAAAGACAGCCAAGCCATCTTAGTTTGTATAAGAGCACCATATGATGTTAGCTCACTGATAAAAATCATCTAACAATGTTATCCTCAGAACATATCCCCATTGTAAGTGATGCTTGTCTATGGAAAGACTAGTTCCTGTATTTTCTCACATTCTAAGATTATTTTCCCTCGATGGTAACTTGTTTTGACACAGCTAAATCAGCCACCATGTTTAGAAATTTTAAATGGCAACTCCAGGTAGTATAGCATAAAAATAGAATTTTCTATTCTATTATGTTGTTGACCATAATTGAGCTATGTGTTTTTTTTAAATGAAGGCTTTTGATAGAGGAGATGAATACTCTAGGTAACAGCAAAACAAAGGGTTAACATTTGACATTACAGGTTTTACTCTTAGTTGTTTTCAAGTTGGCAAAGACCTCTGAAGTCAGATATTCAAGAAGGGCACTTTCCTAATGCAGGAATTAACACACAACAGCCTCATCAGTGTGTAGAGATTATTTCACTTTCCAGGAAAGTTGGTATGATAAAGGATTTCACTGATCACATCACTTAGAGTTCAGCAGTTTTTTAAAATATATAGTACTTTTGCTTGCTATGTGAAAAAGTAGGTAGCATTAAATTAGTAGGTTTTTAAAGTGAACTTGGTTAAAAAGTAGAAAAGTGACTTTCATAGCACTAGAGTTCTATTTTTCTAAGAAGATATTACTGCTTGATGATATTTAATGCAGACTAGCTATTGAAGTCTAACTTGCAATCTGGAAGAAAGTGACTGTGTTTGGAATTTGCCATCTTAGAAGATGCATTGGGACCATTTTTTAATCTTAACATGGTAATTTCCTTGGTTTTTTTTTTTTTTGAACAGCTGCTTTACTTCATTGCCACCACTAGAGCTCCACATTACATCAGTTTTTACCTGGCTAACTGCAAAGGTGTGCATTCCAATATGCAGAATCAAAGGGGTTTCTTGCTGACAAACCCCTGTTACAGACATAGTCTTTTGCTTGTGAAATAATCAGGCATCATAAAAATAAGGGCATTATGTTTAAAAATAGTATCCTGGCAAAAACTAGCTATTTTGAATTCTGATCAGTGAGGTATTGTCTTAGGGAACGAACAGACTGGCCAAGAGGATTAGAAAGGAGATACAGCACTTCCCACCTGATTTGGCTCCAACAGTGGTTCAGAGTGACTAAGATTGTCACCCAGACATCTGTTTGCAGGGCAGAGCGAGACAAGTCTGTGACCTCAGCTCAGTTCCTGTGGACGGATGCCCACCCCTTGAAGTTGACACTCTTGTTGACAGTCTCAGACATAGAGCCAAGGAATGATAGCAAAGGAGTAATGCTGGTTGTTTGTGTTCACTCTAATTGCTTTTGATGGAACTCAGTCCCAGTGAGGTTTGTTCCAGGTAGGCAGAAGGAAATCACAACTTTCTCTCTCTCTTTCTCTCTCTCAATACAGAAGAAGGAACTTCTGTGGGACTCCAGTGAGAAAGACTATTTATTGAATGGCTTCTTATCCATAGGAGACACACTAATTTAATTTTCATAACAATTAAATACTAATAATCTTCTTTTATAGATGAGGAAGTTGGGAAACAGAGAAAGTGATTAACACACTAAAGGCTAGGTCAGGATTCATGCCCACACCTTACTCAAAAGTCCAAGGTCAAATGAGGAATAGAGATTCCTATAGGTTGTGGAACTGAATAACTATGGATTGGAATTCTGGATCTGCTATTGAAAAATGTGTGACCTTGCTCAAAGTAATCAACTTTTCTATGTTCCAATTTCTTATGGGGCAAAAAAAAAATAATTATACCTTCACAGGAAATAATTTATTTAAAAAGTTTGCAATATTAGTAGCTATGCATTACATAATAATTTCTATTTTTTATATGCTATTTAACTATTTAACTCTAGTATGGGCCACAGGGGTACATGATATAAGTGGGCAAATGGAAGCCCAGAGATGTCATGTAACTTGCTTGGCTCCCAATGGCTGATTAATGGCAAGTTTTAAACTAAAATACTTAATTTTAACAAATTTTAATTGCTAATGCTTAAACATCTATAAAATATTTATGTAGATAATTATATTAGTTAATTTCTTTTGTTATATCAATAAAGATTGATTATTTTTGGATATTTATATTAGTCTTCTAAATTACTTTTACCAAAATTAGAGGGAAACTTCTGACCTTTTATGTGAAGTGTGACTGAAGTAGATAGATAGGACCTAGGTTCAAAAGAGCATGGTGGCAGTAAAGAGTGTCTTTATGGTTTTAATACCAGATGTTTACAAAAGGAAGTAGTTTAGGTACCGGACTCCTTTTCAGACTCATTTTTTTAGCAGCATTACTGAAGTATAGTTGACCATATTTACCTATTTTAAGATCTGTAATAAATTTATAGTTGAGCAGTCATCACCACAATCCAATTTTAGATCATCTTTGTTCCCCCGAAAAATTCACACTTACTTTTTTCATGAGCTCAGGAGAAGTTCTATTTTTTTTTTTTTTAAAATTTTGCTTTTAAAAATATCTAAGATGACAAATTTTAAAAACCCTTACACATAGAAGCTCTTGTTTAGCAGAATATTTGATTTAGCAGTAGCTAACTGAGCCATGGAAGATAGCTGACATCTGTGGTTTGGCCTCTGTAAAATCTGACCCTTATATGACATAATAAGCTGGCTCTTTACTATGGCTGTAGAATTCTGTCCTGGGCTCTGTCTGTTTCTTGGAGTCTTACATAAAGAATGCTTAAACCAGGCATATTTATGAAAGGGCTTTCATGTTCTGATAAAGAACAGTGTGAGCCAGACAGTCAACCAAAAGCTGCTTAGATCACAAAGGTTTGTATATGTTACTAGTCAGTAGTGTAGCCTGCCCATAGTTTTAGGTAAAAGAACCTCTTGGTGTAATGGATGGAGAATGTGAATGGGGAATAAAGCATCCGAAATAATCCTGATTTTGTCATTAACATGTTACACAATCTTGGGCAAATTGTTTCCAGGTATGACTTATAAACTATTTTTATATCTCCAAAGTTAAGACTGCTGGACAGTAATGATTTTGAAGGGCCTTTGTCAGTTCTGCAGATAAGATGAAGAGCCTGCTCTGTGCTGGATAATGGGAGTATGCAGATGAGCAAGATAGACTGGTACCTGCCCTCAGAGGGCTTCTGTTTTGATGGGGATGACAAATTTATTTTAAAATGACATGAGTTTATGGGTGTGATCGTTTATAAATTCATAGTAGGAGAAAATCTAGCTTCTGGTGAAAAATAAAAGCTTTATCAGTGGATAAATAGCTGATTTGTATCACTTCACTTGTCTTTTGTCTTTCCAATAATTGGTAGGTAGATAATGCTGGTATTTGTGTACCTAAACTGATATCCCACCTGAAACAAAAAAGTGACTCTTAATATATTAAGGGTTGTCATAGATAATATGATGATGATTTGTTTTTCTACCTTTCTCTTGTAAATAGTGAAATTCAGGTTGAGAAAGAGGAGAAACTTCCTATCTGGGGTACTGAACATGGTACTTCTGGCCACTGTGCATTCAGGAATGATCATGATCATTAATTGTAGTACAGTTAGTCAATTGCTTAAAGACTTTAGCTAGAGATATAAGAAGATATACTAGATATTTCCTGAGGTCTCTACCAACCTCCATGTGTATGAAAATGATTATATACAGAGAAAGACAAAATGTAGGTAAGTAGAAGTGGCTTTCAAAAATGTGAGCAATGAAGCTCCTTGTGATTGACTTAATTTGGGGTGGAAATATTAACCTTAAGACTGTGCACCCTTTCCCATGGTTTAAGAAGAGTTCCGCCCCATTCCCTTTTTTTTTTTTTGAGCTGGATATTGAAAACAGAGGTGCCACATTCCCAGTCCATTTTATTCATTCATTCATTCATTCATTTATTTATTTTTGAGATAGGGTCTTAAAAAATGCTTAGGGCTTTGCTAAATTTC